TCCTGCCTTTTCTCTCTCCTGCCTTTAAGATCTGTTTGCCCACAGGTGCTCGTGGCTCATCGGGACGGGGCCGCATAAGGAAGGGAACCCTGCCCCTCCAGGACCTGTGGCTGGGAAAAGGAAAAAGTGCAGGTGCTGCTGAGGCAGGGGCTTTCCAGTCACATTCCTCTGGTTTTACAGTTGCTTGGCCCCCTCTTTGTTAGTGGAAAAAGACAGGCAAATGGCAGATGTAAAATGCTGCTATTCCAGCTGAAAGAAGAACTGCATAGCTCCTGGGGCAGGCGCTGCGGGAGGAAGGATTTGGGGGTGTTACCCTGCAGACAAGGAGACCAAAGTGGTGTTTGTTTGAGGCACAATCCCTTTCTCTCCTCAGGAGCTGCAGCTCCCCCCGCCCGCCCAGCTCCTGCGCAGAGGGGGCGGCTTGCTTTACAAACGCTTTTCTCTTCCCCTCGTGCTGGAAATTTGACTCTACAATAACACTTACACAGCAGCTAATTGCCAGTCCTGCAGTGACTTAGCTCTCTAATTCCTGCCAGTCAATGAACCAGCCCAAAGAGCTGGTTTTCGTAACGTGCTGAATGTATGAACGCAGCCCTGGAGACATAACATAGCTGGGATTTTTTTTTTTTCCTGGACAACTTCTGGATCCTTCTCAATTTTGGAAATTCCTTTCACTCCACAGGACATACGGGATATCCAAAGCTGGAGCTGGCAAGAGGGGCCATTCTGGGGAGATGTTGAACAGACACGGACCGACAGAAGTCCCAGAGACCAGCGGGGGTGCCAGGGAAGAGATGATTGTCAGGAAATTGGTTTGAAGGTAACACTGGCGTCGTCCAGCCTGTCTGTTGGTGATTTGAGGGCTCATCATCATCTTTTCATGGATTCCTACTGCCCAACAATGTCCACGCCTTGCAAAGTGTTCCTTGATCTCCTGGTTTGTATCCAGAGGGCTGCTGCAAAAATTGTTGTGCTGGCCAATGGCTTAGACCACATCATTCCTTCCTGAGCTCCTCCCTGGCACCCTCTTTTCTCTGCCCCAATTGTGGAGTGCTCATCTTCCCGCTCCCAGCCCATCATTATCCACCTCTCCTCCACCCGTTGTCTCCCATGCAACAGAGGCCCTCTCCATTCCCATTCCCAACAAGCCCCTTCATGCTCCTTCCTGCCCTGCTCCACACCTGGGAGAAACACTCTCTGAGCCTTTGCAAAGCCACCACATTGCCCTTCTCACAGCTCTCCTTTGTCACAACATCTTCATTAACCATCACAGGGGAGCTGCTGTGCTCAGCTCATCACCTGATGCCAGCAGTACCTCCTTGCTCCCTCCCTTCCTGCCCTGCCTGCTCCCTGCTCCTGTTCCTGCCCTGCCTGGAGTGCACAGAGTTCTGTCTCTCCGTGGCTCTGCAGCCACGAGTGGGAGCCCAAAAATGGGCTAAGCCACATTAGGGCCAGTGACTCTGGAGATGGCGGGTGGCTTCACCGGCAGGCGCTGAATTTGGGCACAGCGAGGTACCAGTTCACCCCTAAACCCGTGTTTGTTGTCCCATTTGGGCAAGGGCAGAGTAGTGGGACAGACTGAAATGCAAAGTGAGCTCCAACTCTGGAGTGAGCAGAACCATGGTCAGTGTCTGCTACTGAGGCAGAAGCCATCACATGAGTATAAATCATTCCTGAAAGGAGGATGGAGCCAGGCAGGGGGGTGGTATCTTCTCCCAGGTAACAAGCAACAGGACAAGAGGAACTGGCCTCAAGTTGTGCCAGGGGAGGTTTCAATCTGACATGAGGAAAACATTCTTCATGAAAGGGTTGTCCAGCCCTGGCACAGGCTGGGGGTGTTCAGAAATCGTGTGGGTGGGGCAGTGAGGGATGCGGGTGGCCTTGGCGGTGCTGGGTGATGCTTGGACTCGATGATCTCAAAGGCTTTTTAACGATTCACTGATGCACTGATTCAGTGATTCGATAATTCTGTAACTCAGTGACTCTATAACCCCACCGCTCAGTGTCCCCCGGGCCGTGCCCCCTCCCGCTCCCTGAGGGCCGGGCGGGCCTCGCGCGCCCCCTGGCGGCGCAGGGACCCCGCGGGTGGGGGGTGGGCGGAGCCCGGGGACACCCCGCCCCTCCCTTTCTGCGCACGCGCCTGCCGGGAACTCCTCCTTCCCTTAGCGGGGCGGGGCCGCGGCTTCGGCCGCCTGAGTGAGCATGCGCGCAGGCGTCACGTGGCGGCCGCGACCCTTCTTAATGCTGAGCGGGGCGGGGGGCGGGCTCAGAGAGCAGAGCGAGGATGGCGAGGGGAGGACGGAGCGTGGCCCGGCCCGCGCCGGTGCCTGCCAGGTACAGCGGGACACACCGGGACACGCCGCGGGGCGCACGCGGGGCCTGTGCCACCTATCCTGACTCCCTTCTCTCCCCAGCCCGGCCCCAGCGGCCCCGGTCGCGGCGCCCGCGGCGCAACCGGCGCAGCCCGGGCTGATGGCGCAGATGGCGAGCACGGCGGCCGGCGTGGCCGTGGGCTCCGCTGTGGGACACGTCGTGGGCAGCGCCATCACCGGCGCCTTCAGCGGCGGTTCCTCCTCCGAGCCGGCCAAGGCGGCGGCGCCCGCGCAGGTACGAGCGGGGCTGTGCCCTTGGGCCGCCCTTGGGGGGCCTGTGGCCGCGGGGCGCCGGGCCGGGGCTGAGGGGAAGGGGGACAGAGCCCGCCTGCCGCGGGGAGGAGGCGCCGGTGCCCCCGGGCCGTCTCCTGAGTGGGCCTGTGCCCGCAGGCGCCCGTGCAGCCGCAGTCGCCCTTCGGACCCTGCCACTACGAGATGAAGCAGTTCCTGGAATGTGCCACCAACCAGCGAGACCTGACCCTGTGCGAGGGCTTCAATGAGGCTCTGAAGCAGTGCAAGTATAACAACGGTGAGTGTGCCCCGTCCTTACAGGAGGGAACTGCTGCCAGGAGAGCACCTGAGAGGATTTGAAGGTTGCAGAAGCAATCTTTGGAGGCTGTAGGGCTCTTCAGGGCTTTAAGTAGGAAGCAGTTCTGCCTCTGCTGTTCCCAGAAGGGAACTGGAAAGGGCAGGAGAAATGATCTTGACCATACTTCTGAAGGTGGGGAGGCTGTTGGTACCCTCTTACAGGATCCTCTGTTGCTGCCGTGGGAAGCCTGCTGTATTTCCCTAGCTGATTCCCTAATTCCTGCTGCATTTGTTATAAACTTTTGTCAGAAGTTAGGTCTTGATCTGGTCACCTGAGATAAAAGAGCTTTTAATTCCAGCTGCTGGAACATGTACCTAATGCTGAACTTGTGCTTCCTTCCTGTAGGTGTTTCTTCTCTCCTGTGAAGAATCTGCCCCCTCGTATGGAAGAGGATTGTTGTGTAGAGCCCTGCTATCCACAGGGAGCAGAAGGACAGACAGGGAGTGCGCTGGAGGGAGCAGACTGACCAGACAGGAGCATTCTAGTGGTAATTCACTTCTGAACTAGTAGGGAAGGAAAGGAACGATTGGACCCAAGGGTCTTCAGAATTCAGATAGTGCTATATTTATTACAGAGAAATAAAGGAATTTATTTGGACCTATCACTTGTGCACGTTCTTTATTTAATTCTCAAGCTAAAATTACGCTACCAAAATGTTAACAGTATCAGCCACTTAAAGGACAAGGCACAACTGTGTGTTTCCTGCGAACAGGAGATGCAGCCTAGCAAGGGCAGAGCCTGCGTGACTTGGCAAAAAGAGATCCAGACCTCAGCTGAGGCTGCACTGGCTGCCCTCCAGGCAGAGGAGAGGCTGGAGGGAGGTAATCCAAGATGTGTCTAGAGTATTTTCAGTAACAAATTATTTTTCTATAGATACCCTCTTCCTGGAGAGCTGTTCTGACTCAGAGCTAAGACAGCATGACCTGTCTGGCTGTGGGACTTGGGTACAGTTGGCTGATCTTACTTAAAAGCTTTAGCAGGTTATGCAATGTTCTCAAGGTCATTGGCAACAGGTGAAGTTTGGAGCTGCTTTCCTCTTGCAGTCACCTTGGCAGAACAATCTCGTGAGTGCTGCCCTCAGATGGGCCTCTGGAAGGGCACCCTGTTCTTCACGGTGGTGTAAAAGAGAGGCTTCAGGTGGAGCTTTAGTGGCACAGCAGTAAAAAGATGACACTTTCAGATGCTTAACTTATGCATTTTCATGGCAGAATGAGTCTATTAACCTTTTGATCTCTGACTGTTGAATACTGGACAAGTTCTCAGTTGGGATTTGTGAGGAAGTCCAGGTCTGGATGGTAAATGCTAGCAGCGTGTACTGGAGGCTGGTGTTGAAAGTCCTGCCCCTTCTAAATGTCACAATCTAAATTCTTGGTAAACAATGTTCTGACCTATGTGTGGCCTTACTGGAGCGCCTTGTGCTCTCCTGAGAGACAGCCAAGGGAAAAAGTAAATGCCAGAGACTCAAAGCCAAAGTGCTCTGTGTCCTGAACTGTCCCAGTGTGAGCAGAGGAGAGCCACTCTGAAGTTTAACTCCTTGTAAGAAATAAATGTAATGGTGGCGTGTGCTGGTCTGGGTGGAGAAGCTGTTAAGGAGAACCAGCAGGAGCACCTGCAGCAGGCCTGTTCTGTCTTTGACCCATCTTGGCAAAGAGCTGCTTCTGTAGGTGTGGAGATGGGCTGTCTCTGGAACAGCTGTTCCTGGTGACCACAGTAGAAGGTCTCTAGAAGGCACTGCCATTGTGGTGGTTGTGTGAAAGCAGGTCTATCCAGTGATGTGGGTGCATGTTCCTCTGGCTGCTGGTGCAGGGGGGTTGAAAGGAGGTGCAGGTTCTTGTCACTGGAGAGTGCAGGCCATGCTATGGGAACATGAGTGACCTCCTGGATGCTGCTTGTGCCTGGCTGTGGCGCTGTGTTCACCTGCTTTGTCAGGATGCAGTTTTGGATGTGGTAGTGGGAACCTCTGAGAAGCAGGGTACCCCAGGAAGAGGATTTCCATTGCAGGGGACTTGCTGAACTGGGAATAAGCTGGGGACGTGGCAGTGCTGTGTGACCAGGAATGGGTCTGTTCCTCATTTAGGGATCTTCTTGAACTCTGAACCCCTCTTCTTCTTTGAGGTGGTTCTGTTCTTTAACTGGGTACCAGTGTGGGGCTGAGCCCTCCTCTGCAAGGATCCCTTCCTCCACTGGTCTCTCCTCTGGGTCTTTGCCGAGAGCTGCTGCAGCCGATCTGTGGAGTGACCACCCTGAGTGCACTCACTGCCCACAGCCATAACTAGCCCTTAAGTGGGATCAGAGGGCAGTCCCAAGGGCTGAGGCAGGGAGAAGAGTCATGCCTGCACCCCTGGCTCCTCTCTGGGTGTCTGGCTCTTACCTGTTAGGTCAGGGTAGTGTTTCCCCAGGTCCTCTAGCAAGGATTCATAGGATGTGGCTTCGGAATTTTTGTCTCCTGCTAGCAGAATGGAAGAAATGGATTAGTCTCTTTCCTGACTGCAAGCTGAGGGTTTGCAACTGGGGCAGGTGGTTCAGCCCAGGAAAGTTTCCTTGTCCTCGAGAGCAGCCACCCCAGACAAACAAAGGTTCAGCTCTAGCTTTTCATCTGAGCTGACTTCTGCCTTCTCAGATCTCCTGTGCTGTGTCCGAGTGCTGAATAGAGCCACTCTAGAAACCCACCCCTTCCCCCCAGCCAGAGCTGTGCTGTCCCAGCAAGGAACTTACGGATGACTCTGATGAGGATGTAGTGCTCCCTTTCCCGGAGGTATTTACTGGTGTATTCAGATGCAGGGTTTTCCACTTTGCTCAGGTTCATCAGAGTGCCTGTTTCGTCCAGAAGATCGATGCAGTCTGGAGGGAGAGACATGTGGTGAAGGAAACCCAGTGTGCCCCTGTGTGGCCAGCATGAGCCTGCGGGGTTTAGAGCATTCTCCTTAGCAATTTATGCTTTGAGGAAAACCTGTTGGGGTCTGGAGGTTTGCTGCCCCTTTCCCTGTGTTTTGGGATGGTCTGTGACTCCCATGTGACCTGTTTGTTACCCTCTGCTGCTCTCTGTGGGTGAGTGCTGGTCCCTGGGTGCCCCCTGCCCAGAAGCTCTCGTACCTTCAGGCCTGCACTGACACTTCCTCTTCAGATGGGTGGTGAGGACCAGGACACAGCACTGCAGGTTCACCATCACTTGGCAGTTGGCTGCAGACAGAGAATGAGACCTGAGATGTGAGTGTGGTCACGCCAAATCCAGGAGCCCAATGGACATGGCAGGAGGCACAGCAGGTGGCTCAGAAGTGCCCACTGTGTGGCCAGCAAAGGCAGGATCTCCATCTGGTGTCACCAGGGCTTTGAGCTGCTCCTTTTTACAGCCACGTCTGCTGGTGGTTGGTGCTTGGAGTGCCCCAGGTTAGGGAAGGGATCACTTTGATTTGGGGAAAACAGTTTGGGTTGATGAAGTGTCTCTGTCCTTCAACACAGTTTCATTGAGCCTGAGTAGGAAAAAGCAATGAGCTCTGGTCCTTAGCAGTCCCATTCCACAAGCTGGTCCCAGTCACAAGGGGAAAGAGCTGGAGATTGTGACTGAGTCACCAGGAGATATTTTGGCCGTGAACTTTCACCAAGTTTATCACAATTGAGAAATCCCCGGGGCTGACACACGTCAGTGGTCAGAGCTGGGGATCCAATTCAAATAGCAGAGGGAGCAAAGGCTTAGGACTGTGTGTGTGATGCCTTCAGCCACGAGTGTCTGGGGTCAGGCAAAGGCTCTGCCAACTGGGTGAGGTCAGGAGAGGAGCTGCTCATTCCCTCCTACCAGCCACAGATACCTGCTCTCTGAAGCTGAGGGTCAGGATTTGAGCCAGGGAACCCTTCCCACACAGCCAGGAGCAGAAGAGCTCTGCTGGCAGCTGGCACTCCTGCCCCATGGCTTTCCTGCTTTGTGTAGGTAAGCAGGGCCCCTCCCAGCAGTGATTCCCCAGAGCTGCCAGGCTGGGAGCTCATCCTTGCCTCTGCCCTCCCTCCTTGTGATTAACTCAGCACTGGTGGTGTGGTTTTCCTCCACGATTCAGTGTTTAGGCATTATATTTCTTTAAACAGGTGAGGTGCAGGGTGCAGAGCTCTCCTGTGTGTTCCCAAACCCCTGGGCACTGCTGTGCATCAGGGTGCCTTCTCCCTCCCTGCCCCTCGTGGCGGTGGTGAGGGAGTCCGAGTGACTGACTGGCCCCAGAGCCGAGGCAAGGCTGGAGCTCTCTCCACCTACCTCCGTATCTCACCGTGACGAACATGGCCTTCCTCTCCCAGAGCTGCTCTCCTTTAGTGGGGGCTCAGGCCTGTGCTGGGGGGCTGCTCGTGCCGGGTGTCTTCCTGCAGGCAGTGGTGGGAGCTCCTGGAGAGCCCAGGGAACGGGCTGTGTTTGCCACTGACGCTGTTGTGGTTTCAATAGCCACATTTCCCAGCAACAGGGAATGGCCCCTGCAGGTTCCCAAGCCTCCTGCAACTGCGGGGTGGGAGAAGGGGGGGTAGAGCAGAGGCTGAGCTAAACAGCAGCCTGTTGGGAAGGCTGCCTGCTCCATGTGGTCCCAGCTAGTCTGCATTTCAGGCTTTTTGCAGTCTTGTGGTGTTTCCTGCCCCTGTTTGTCCTGCAGCTCATCTGGGCTGTTGTGGTGCCACATCTGCCCACCCTGCTCCTAGCTGAGCCCAGCATTGCTGCAAGGGCAGTGTGGCCTCCTCTGCAAGATGATTGGATGCTCCTGGAAAAATCTTCCTGAGGACCCTGCCTGTGCTGGTCCTACTCTGGAGCGCAAGGCAGTGGGATATTGCAGCCTAGGAGGAGCTGTGGGCAGTTGGAATAAAACTTCCTTTGCATATGTGAGTTCTTCTGTTCACTGAGTACCTCTCATTCCTCATGTAGGAGGGGAATAAAATTGGCAGAACAAGGTGAGCACGGGGCTGGGCTCGTAGCTGCTCTTGCACTGTGCACAGCCAGTACCTTCCTGCCCCCTTGGGCTGTCAGTGATGCACGTGGCTCATGTATCAGCTGCATCTTCCATTTGGTGCCCAAATGTTGCTGTGCAGTGTTCTGGCAGCAGTGGTTTGAGGGCATTGTAGCATCATCCCCTCTTCCTGTGGAAAAACATATGGATGAAATCACATCCCTGGGCTGGTCAGCAGATGGGGAGGATTTGAATGGTGGGAACCAGTAACAGCACTGATGTGCTGCACATCCACTGCTCTGTGGACAAATTCCCTTTCCCTGAAATGCCCCTCCTTGCATGAGGAGGTGATTTCCTTCTGCCTTACTGGGTTTTGTTTCACAGCCTCTGCCTAATCCATGGACTTGATATGCATGGAGCATGGGACAAGGTGTATATGTGACACTCCTCACCTAGACACATGTGCAGGAAGTTCATGAGAGCCCCAGAAGGCAGGAGAGCCATTGTGTGCACCAGGGCTCTGCAGGGTGGCTCAGCACATCAGGAGTCCAGCTTCCTGCATCACCTCCTTGAATGATGGTGGTGCTTCCTCTCCAGGATCTGCCCATGCCAGAGACACAGTGCTGGGTGCTCTAATGAGGCGGCTCATTAGCTCTGTCTCAGAGCTCCATTTCCCCTCCCACCCAGAGCATACACAGACCAGTCACCTCAGGAACCTCTTGCAAGTATCTTTGGCTTGGGGACCCCTCAGGAGCAGGGCTGAGTGCTGCAGAGGGGAGGGAGTGGGCCATCCCTGGGGTGGTGATGTAGTGGCACTGGGTGGGGTCTGAGCCTGCCTGTGAAGGGCACCCATTAGTTACGGGACACTGCCAAGTGCTTGCTGATCACGCTGCTGCAAAGGACAGCCATGGGCTGGTGGCTGTGTGACATGGTGCGTGACACACTGCGTGACATGGTGTCTCTGGGCTCTGTAGTGGGTGTCACAGACAGGAGGGGCTTCACGCCAGCTGAGCTGATGGCCTTTGGCTGTAACAGTCCACTGTCCTTCCGCACAGCACCTGCTGTGCTGCAGCCACCTCTCACTGCAGTGCTCCCTCAGGCAATGCCTTCTGACCCGTGGCTTTGGCAGCCACCCCACCGTGTTTGCCCAGGGCTGCTGCTCCTGAGCTGGCCCTGGCAAAGAGGCAGCACCATCGGCAGCTCCCAGCCTGGACTGTAGGCTGAGAAATCACAGCAATGGAGCTGCAGGGGGAAGGGAGCAGCAACTTTCCTTGTGCTGTTTCTGCAATGAGATGGCTGCCAGGGAACTCTGGTACAGCTTGTCTTTCGTTCTCCACGGTGGCAGCGGGGCCAGCTGGCCCCCAGCCTGCTGCTTCCACAGGACACCCTTGGCATGGTGTGGATCAGGTTCCTGGCCTCCTGTGCACCTGATGGCAGAGGGCCTGAGGCAAACAGTGTGAGAGGCCAGGGAAACCCCTAAGCTCTCCCCAGTGCCCAGGACAGACGGTGGTGGGTTTGGCGGTGGGCACAGCAGGAGGAAATGGCCTGGCCTGGGGTGAAGGAGGGCACTGGGTTGCAGTGCTCAGCTCTCCCCTCCTCCCTGAAGCCCAGCTGCAGCAGAGCGAGTAGCCCTGGGGAGCTGAGTCCCTGAGCCCCCTGTGTCATTTACATACACCCCACCGTGCCATCAGCACAGTGACCTGGGTTCCTGTAGCACTGCAGACCCTCTCTGAAACAACCTCCCTTCCTCTGCTTCCTGCCATGGCCCCGGGCTTCCTGGTCCTGCTCCTGCTGGGGACGGTGGGCACAGGTAAGGGTGGGGTGGCTGAGTTAGCTGCTGTCTGGGGGGCACTGCAGGGTGATGAGCAGGATGGGCTGTCCAAGGGGATGTCAGTCTGAGCAGGGCATTTTGCCCCAGGGCTGTGTAGGGTGATAAGCAGGATGGTGGTTGGGTAATGGGGTTGCCTCAAAGGGGCTGAGGGTGATGGGGGGCATGGCTCAGCCCATCAGTAACCGCATCCTTGCTGCGTGCAGCTTGCAGGGCTCAGCCTGTGCTGACCCAGCCCTCCTCCCTGTTTGTGCTGCCCGGGCAGACGGCCCGGCTGTTCTGCACCCTGAGCCCCCAGTACAACATCACCGAGTTCGGCATCTCCTGGTTCCAGGAGCGCCCGGGGCACGCCCTGAGGTATCTGCTCTATTACAACTCCGAGCGAGAAATGCACAAGCCTGACGAGACTCCCGACCGCTTCTCTGCTAGCAAGGACCTTGCCAGCAACACCTGCATCCTCACCATCACCTCTGCCTGCCAGGAGGACAACGGCACCTACTACTGCGCCCTGACTCCTGCCTTCAAGTGGTTTTAGAAGTGGGGAACAAAAGCTCTTTGTGCCCTTTCTGCAACCCCGATGCAAAGCCCTCAACGGGGAGAGCAGCTGCCCTGGGAGGGATGGAAAAAGACTTCGCACGCTTGAGCAGGCCCAGCAGCGCTGCCTCGTGCTGGGAAGTGCAGCAACCTCCTCTTTGAACCCAGACTTCCCCCATGGAACACTGGAGAGCCTGACATGGTGCGAGACCTGCCAGGGACTCCTGTTGCAGCAGGAGGATGGATGGACGGCTCTGCTGTGGCCCGGCTTTCCTGGGCTCTCCCAGCACTCGGCAGCCTTGATCCGGCCTGGGCTTCCGCAGAGTTTGGCTCACCTTGTAATAAAGGTTAATCCTTACCCACAGGGCTCGTGTGGTGTGTGGGGTCACCCCTTCGGGGTGGTCCCAGGGGACTGAGTCAGGAGGGAAACCTTTGGCCCTTGGTGGGATCCCTTGGGCTGAATGGAGCCCTCACCCACCTCTGGAGCAGCCCCTCATCCCTGAGACCTCCACCCACACCGCCCACTTCCCTCACCGCCCACCACAGCTCCTGAGGGGAAAGGGACAGGTGTAGGTCCTTCACAAGGCCGTTTCACGCAGAGAGATGAAGGATTTCCCCACAAAACCCCACACAATTCAGCCCCAACACGGGGTGGCCGCACTGCGCATGCTCACCGCGCACAGCAGCGGGCGTTAGGACCCTGCGGCAGGCGCTGGTGTCACGTGGGGGCTGCTGGCGCTGCCATTGGCTCAGGGCAGCACAAACTCTGGCGCGCTACTTCCTGGTTACCTCAGTGCGCGTCGGGGCAGCGGGGCGGGATGGTGAGAGGCGGGTGGGAGGCCCGCGCTGCTTCCCTGCCCGTGGGTTCAGCCTGGGGCGGAGGCTTGGCCCGGTTCTCCCCGCTGCGGCGGGGTCTCCCGCCTCAGCCATCCCCGGGCACCGCGTTACCCCCCTCCGGCTGCGTGCGGAGCGAGTGCTCCCGGCGCTGCCGACCGGGCTGTCCGTCCGGGGAGGCTTGGGCGAGCGAAGGGGTGTTTCATCAAGGGCAGCAGGGTTTTGTGGTATTCTGTTTTTGTGCTGTTCTGTTAAGTACCCTGGGTTAAGGCTCTCTCTTTCTTCCCGGTGCGTGCGGAGTTGGTGTTAGTGCTGGGGGACCTTCACATCCCGCACCGGTGCAGTGCTCTGCCCGGGAAGTTCAAGGAGCTGCTGGTTCCAGGAAGGATTCAGCACATCCTGTGCACGGGAAACCTCTGCACCAAGGAGACCTATGACTACCTCAGGACCCTGGCTGGGGACATCCACGTCGTCAGGGGGGACTCGGAGGTACCATGAGTTCCTCAGCCTGCCTTCCTGAGTTGGTTGTCTTCATGAGTCCTGGGGAGTCCCTCAGCACTGACCAATTCCTGAACTGTAATTCACCTGAATAAGGAGTAGGGATGAGTAAGAGTGAAGAAACAAAATTATTTTCTAGACCTTTCTGGTTGTACCTGCAACAGGAGGGCCTGGGTGTGAGGGGGTAGTACATGCACCTGGTTCATATGAGCTCGGGCACAAGTCTGTGATTGCTGAGGCCACAGTGCCCCATCTGGCCGTGTAGCTGCAGGAATTCTGTGTTAGGTACCCAGTTAGTCACCTGCTCTCTGTGCAAATTCCTTACTCTTTGGTCTGAAATTGCTCTTGCTGGGGTGTGGTACAAGCATCCAGTGGGGTCTGCATGTTGAGAGAGACCTTGTGTGCCTGATTAGCGAAGGGCAGGATCGTTTCTTGGGAAGTGCATTGCATAAACGAGGGGTCCTTGACTGATTTATAGGCTGTACCTTTCTCCTCAGAGCCTGAATTATCCTGAAAAGAAGGTTATAACTGTTGGGCAGTTCAGAATTGGGCTGATTCATGGCCATCAAGTAATCCCCTGGGGCGATGCAGCCAGCCTGGCACTGCTGCAGAGGCAGCTGGATGTGGACATTCTCATCTCGGGACACACACACAGGTTTGAAGCATTTGAATATGAAAAAAAATTCTACATCAACCCAGGATCAGCTACAGGAGCCTACAGTGCTTTGGAAAGGTGAGTGAGGGCAGCCCTGAGCTGCCCAGCTCAGCAGAGCCTGTGGGTGTTACCTGAAGTGAGTGTGTGTCTCACCATCATGCTACAGAGAGCTGGTGAGGTGCTGTGAGGAGCAGGAGGCTGAATTGCTCCCTGGGGAATCCAGCGGGGCCTGTCAGCTTAAATGCTGAGCCTGACACGGTTTGGGCTGTTCTATGTTAAGTGCAGCTCTGTCTGAGACATTTTATCAGTGCCTGCAGACCCTGCAGAGTTTCCCACGTCCCTGTAGCCCTGGTCAATAAAGTATGTGAGAACATATAAACATAAGGGATATTAACAGCAAGAGGTATAAGCTAACTGGGAAGATTACAAAGGATGTCTTCTTTCTAGGAACATCACCCCTTCATTTGTGCTGATGGATATCCAGGCTTCTACTGCTGTGACTTATGTTTACCAACTAATTGAGGATGATGTGAAAGTAGAAAGAATTGAGTTCAAGAAGTACTGAATCATGTTCAAAACTCCTTGAGGACTTCTCGCTGCCTTTTACCCCTTCCCTTTCCCGTTCAGGAGCAGCAGGCCATGATATGGTGCTGCACTGAGCTGGGCTGTAAAGCAGCTGTGAGACTTTACTGCTGGTGAGCTGTTCGTCTTGGTTCCTAACCAGAACTTGAAGCAGAAGACACAGCTGATGAAGAGAAAGAAGCCTGTGAGGAAAATCCTGTGTCTAAGGAGGAGCTGCTTGTGTTCCTGGCCTGCAGGAGTCAGAGAGGGTGGTGGTAGCTGGGCATTGAACTTTTGTAGAACAACCATAGAATAATAAATCCCTGTCTTCATATGTATAAGTCCCGTTCATTATGCTTGTAAAAGGTGAGGGGAAGCAGGAATTGGGTGTGAGGGGACAGAGGCAGGTCTGGGAAGGGTGGTGTGGAGAGCTCTGTGTGGGTGTGTTGGAGCTGGGCAGGCTGGGCACTTGCCCTTGTGCTCCAGAGGCTCAGGAGGCAGGGCACTTTTGTTTCCTGTGGTGCTGGAGCAGTGCCTGTAGCAGGGTGTGCTGGGGGCAGCATGTGCTCTGTGGGGTGATGGGCTGGGGCTGGGCCAGCTGCAGGAGCAGAGCCCTGCAGACAAGCACCTGCGTGGGGAGGGGAGTGGCTGGAGGAGCTGTGCTGCTGCAGAGGGGGTGCTTGGGGAGTGGGTGAGGCCAGGATCAGAGGGAGGAGGTGGCTGCAGAGGGTGCATCGATAAGGTGGGGTAGAAAAGTGTTCCTGCCGTCCCTTGACATGGATCTTGGCAAAGGTAGAGGGACCTTTGCCCAGCCACCAGGATTCAGCTGGTTGTAGTCTTGTGGCTCCTGAGAGAAGCCTGGTGTGAAGCAGGAAGTGTTTTTCCCAGCTGAGTGGCCCAGGAAGGAAGTGGCCTAGTGGTGGGCAAGAGACAGGGACAGCAGTGGGACAGGAGCTGTCAGGGAGCACTGAGGGTCACATTCCCATGGAAGTAGCTTAAGAGGATGTTGGGATCCACAGCACAGCCCCATCAAGTGGGAGGATGTGGAGCTGGTGGAATTGCCTGAGTCTCTTTCCTTGTGGTGATCATCCACATCTCAGGTGCCATGGCCAGACTTGCTGTGCCCCAATGGGACCTTTGGGCACAGGGATCCCGGCTGTCTGCTCTGGGAAACTTGTGCTCCTGAGACACTGACTGATCTTCGTCTTCTCTCCCTCCTCACATTCCTTAGTCCAGGCAGCATTGCTGAGTCAGCTGTTCTCAGTTTCAGCCACCCTGGAGACAATGCCAAGATCACCTGTTCCACAATTAGCAGTAGCTGGCCTTATGCTGGCTGGTACCAGCAGAAGATCCCTGGCAGTGCCCCTGTCACTGTGATCTATTCTAACACCAACAGACCCTCGAACATCCCCTCACGATTCTCCGGATCCATATCGGGCAACACGGGCACATTAACCATCACTGGGGTCCAAGCCGAGGACGAGGCTGTCTATTTCTGTGGTGGCTGGGACAGCAGCAGTGGTGCTGGTATAGTGGCAAAGAATGATTGTCAAGTGAGGTACAGATGAATTAAAAATGCAGTTTTTCTGCCCTTCTCATGGCCAAGCAGAGTTGTGGATGTAAGATCGGGTGCAGATTTTTGTCTCCTCTGCATGACCATGGCTACGAATGTCCCCCCTTTTTGTTTCCTAGAGCTCTGGAGGTGACTTTTTGTCTGTTGACCATTGTCCTGGTCCCTACAAAACTCATTATGTGTGTCTTTGTCCCCCACCCCACTGCCTCTTATTCCTGATGACCGTATTGTCCTGCTGCTGCCTCTGTGCTGGGATGTACTGGGCTGAGCTCTGCTCCTCAAATGTGCCAGTGGCCTTGTCCTAGTCTGTCCTCCTCCTGCTATTGCATTCACTATAACCTTTTCTGGGTAGGTCTGTACTCCTGGGGCACTGACTGAGCTCACCTTTACTCTCCTCTCTGGTCCAGGCAGCGCCACTGAGTCAACCATTCCCATTGCCAGCCAAGGTGGAAAAAACCATCAAGATCACCTGCTCTGGGGGCGATGGCTACTATGGCTGGTACCAGCAGAAGGTCCCTGGCAGTGCCCCTGTCACTGTGATCTACGATAACACCAAAAGACCCTCGGACATCCCTTCACGATTCTCCGGATCCATATCAGGCAACACGGCCACATTAACCATCTCTGGGGTCCAAGCCGAGGACGAGGCTGTCTATTTCTGTGGTGGTAGCTATGACAGCAGTGCTGGTCAGCCTCTTCTTGCTGCTTCCATTTCTCTTTTCAGGACCATCACACCTTGGGTTCTCTGTGTGTCTCTGGTTCCCTCCACTGCATCATGGGGTCTTTGGGCACAGGGCCCGGTCCTGATTCCCTGGCAAGGCAGTGCTGCTGGGCAATGTCTTATCTCTCTCCTCTCTCTCTCCAGGTTCCCTCTTCTGGGCATGTCAGTCTTCTGTGGCACTGGAAGATTCTCTTTTCTCTCCTTTCTCCTCTACCTCTCCAGGTTCCCTTGTCTAGGCTGCGTCACTGAGTCAGCCATTCTCTGTGTCAACCAACATGAGAGAAACCATCATCACCTGCTCAGGGAGCAGCAGTGGCTATGGCTGGTTCCAGCAGAAGGTCCCTGGCACTGCCCCTGTCACTGTGATCTACAACAACAACAACAGACCCTCGAACATCCCTTCGCGATTCTCCGGATCCAAGTCCGGCAACACGGCCACATTAACCATCTCTGGGGTCCAAACCGAGGACGAGGCTGTCTATTTCTGTGGTGGCTACGACAGCAGCAGTGGCAGCAGCTATGGTGTGACAATGACTAGCAGGAAGTGAGACAGAACCCAAAATCAGAGGAAAGATTTTGGCCCCTCTCTCTCCTGTCTGACTGTGGGGCTGAGGTAGGTTTCTGTCGCCTCTGCCCAGCCGTGGTGAGAAATATCTTCTCCTTGGTATCCCAGAGAACAGGAGTGACTTTCTGGCTGGGGACACCACTGTCCTGGTCCCTACAAAACTCATGGTGTTGCTTTGTCCCTCACCCATCTGCATCTTGCCACTGATGACCAACTCCTGTTGCTGCTGCCAGAGCTCTCTCTGTGCTGGGATGCACTGGGTTGGGCTTTGCTCCCCAAATGTACCTGGCACCAAGTCAGCACGTGTTCTCCTCTGACTGTGACATTCCCTGTAACCTTGTCCAGGCAGTTCTGTGCTCCTGGGAAACTGTGTATCCTTCCCTTTCCTCCCCTCTCTCCTCTCACTTTCCATGTTCCCTGGTCCAGGCAGCATCGCTGACTCAGCCATTCTTGTTGTCAGCCAGTGTGGGAGACACCGTCAAGATCACCTGCTCAGGGAGTAGTAGCAACTACTATGGCTGGTACCAGCAGAAGGTCCCTGGCACTGCCCCTGTCACTGTGATCTACAACAACAACAACAGACCCTCGAACATCCCTTCGCGATTCTCCGGATCCACATCCGGCAACACGGGCACATTAACCATCTCTGGGGTCCAAGCCGAGGACGAGGCTGTCTATTTCTGTGGTGGCACGGACAGCAGCAGTGGCAGCAACTATGGTGTCTTGACAATGACTAGCAGGAAGTGAGACAGAACACAAAATCAGAGGTAAGGTTTTGGCCTCTCTCCCTCCTGTCTGGCTGTGGGGCTGAGGCAGGTTCCTGTCCTTTCTGCACAGCCATGGCGGGGAATATCCTCTCCTTGGTATCCCAGAGAACAGGAGTGACTTTCTGGCTGGGGACACCACTGTCCTGGTCCCTACAAAACTCGTGGTGTTGCTTTGTCCCTCACCCATCTGCATCTTGCCACTGATGACCAACTCCTGTTGCTGCTGCCAGAGCTCTCTCTGTTCTGGGATGCACTGGGTTGGCCTCTGCTCCCCATGTGACCATATCCATGTCTGTTCTCTGGCTATGGCATTCCCTGTAACCTTGTCCAGGCAGTTCTGTGCTCCCAGGACACTGGGTGACCCACCTTTGTTCCTGTCTTTTCTCTCCCTGTCTGATTCCCTGGTACAGCATCACTGAGTCAGCCGTCCTTGCTGTCAGCCAACCTGGGAGACACCGTGAAGATCACCTGCTCTGGGGGTAGCCGTGACTACTATGCCTGGTTCCAGCAGAAGGTCCCTGGCAGTGCCCCTGTCACTGTGATCTATTTCAATGACAAGAGACCCTCGGACATCCATTCGCAATTCTCTGGATCCTTGTCTGGCTCCACGGGCACATTAACCATCACTGCTGTCCAAGCCGAGGACGAGGCTGTCTATTTCTGTGGTAGCTGGGACAGCAGCAGTGATGCTGGTATAGAGACAAAGAAAGATTTTTGAAATCAGGTACAGAAGAATTAAAAATAGAGCTTTTATGTCTTTTCCATGGCCAAGCAGAGTTTTGGATGTGGGACTGGTGCAGGTTTTTGTCTCCTCTTCATGACCATTGATATGAATGTTCCTCCTTTTGTGTCCTAGACCACTGGTGGTGAGTTTTTGTCTATGTCCTGGTCCCTACTAAAATCATGATGTGTATTTGTCCCTCATCCCTTTATGTCTTGCTAGTGACAACCATGTCCTCTCCCTGCTGCCAGAGTTTCCTTTCTGCTGGGATGTATTGGGCTGGGCTCTGCTCTACAAATTTCTTTGGTGCTGCCCCAGGCTGGACAAGAGTGGGAGGATGCTGTAGGCAGTTGATTAATGTGAATTCCAACTAAGGTCTACTCATGATTGCTGTGAAGCCACTGGAAACCCCAAGCTCACTTTGAATTTAGAGGACTGGGGGGCTTTGTTTTTCCTTCCTATTGGGTAGCCTTGAAGTTCCTGGTCTTGGTGTAGTTCCAGTGCCCTCTCACAACCCCACTTCTCTGCTTGGAGGTTCCCTTGTGGTAATTAAGACAGGTCCAGTGTGGCACCTCGTTTGAAGCAGGACCTGGTTTGCCCAGCTCCTCTGTCACTGCTGCTGGTCAGTGCACAGGTAACGTGGCCACCCAGGGATCAGGAAGCACCAACCAGGCTTGGGTGCTGCAGGGCAGGTGGATGTGTCCCCGTGCCAGGTGGGGCTGTCCCCTGCCCTGTGACAGGAGTTCCTGGTGCAGCCAGGCCATGGTCCTACTGGGCAGGAACAGGGACTGTGTGGTCCTTGGCTGAGCTCAGAGCTGAGCAGACGTGCTGGGGAAGGAGCAGGCAGCCCAGAGTGATTGTGCTGCCTTTTGATGGGCCACAGGTGCCCCCAGTGAGCATGGGGAGCAATGGGGCAAGAGCTCCAGGGAACACTGATGGCCACATATCCATGGAGGGGCTGTGCCTGGGCAGGTGGGGGCTTAAAAGGGAGTCAGGGTCCACGGCACAGCCCCATCATCGTGGGGACGTGGAGCTGGTGGGATCACACCATGGCCTGGGTCCCTCTCCTCCTCGCGGTGCTCGCCCACACCTCAGGTGCCAAGGCCAGACTCGCTGTGCCTGGATGGGGCCTTTGGGCACAGGGGTTCCACCTCCCTGCCCAGGGAGGGCTGTACTCCTGGTGCACTGACTGACCCTTGTCTTCTCTCTCCTCTCCCTCTCTGGGTTCCCTGGTCCAGGCAGCGCTGACTCAGCCAGCCTCATTGTCTCACAAGGTGGGAGACACCGTCAAGATCACCTGCTCTGGGGGTAGCAACAGCAGCTGGGCTTATGCTGGCTGGTCCCTGGCAGTGCCCCTGTCACTGTGATCTATCAAAACACCAACAGACCCTCGAACATCCCTTCGCGATTCTCCGGATCCGCATCCGGCAACACGGGCACATTAACCATCTCTGGGGTCCAAGCCGAGGACGAGGCTGTCTATTTCTGTGGTGGCTGGGAGAGCAGCAGTGATGCTGGTATAGTGACAACGAAAGATTTTCGAGTCATGTAAAGCAGAATTAAAAATGGAATTCTTCCATCCCTGTTACGACCAGGCACGGTTGTGAATCTGGAGCTAGGTCAGGTTTTTGTTTCCTCTGCATGACTCTGGCTCTGAATAATCCCCCTTTTGTTTCCCAGAGCCCTGGAGGTGAATTTTTGTCTGTAGACCATTGTCGTGGTCCCTGCAAAATTGATAGTGTGGCTCTGTCCCTGACCCCACTCTTTCTTGCCACTGATGACCACGTTCTCCTAATACTGCCAGAGCTGTCTCTGTGCTGGGGTGCCCTTGGGCTGTGTTCTTCAAATTTTCCTGTGTCAGTGGTTGCATCCATTCTCCTCTGACTGTGGCACTCCCCATCCCACTGCCTGGGAGTTGGTTGGGCTAAATGGGTGCTGTCTGACCCGTGTCTTCTCCCTTCTCCATTTTTCCTCTCCAGGTTTGCTAGTCCAGACCTCATCCATAAGTCTGCCTTCCTCGGTGTCATCCTACCCAGCAGAAACCGTCAAGATCACCTGCTCTGGTAGTGGCAATGGCTACTATGGCTGGTACCAGCAGAAGGTCCCTGGCAGTGCCCCTGTCACTGTGATCTGCAAAAATGACCAGAGACCCTCAGGCATCCCTTCGCGATTCTCCGGATCCGCATCGGGCAACACGGGCACATTAACCATCACTGGGGTCCAAGCCGAGGACGAGGCTGTCTATTTCTGTGGTGGTCAGGACAGCAGTTATGCTGGTGTTGTGACACAGAGAGATGTGGAAATGAGGTATGAAAGAGTCAAAAAGGCAGTTTTTCTGTCCTTCTCATGGCCAAGCAGAGTTGTGCATGAGGGAGGTTTTTGTGCAGGTTTTTGTCTCCTCTGTATGACCATGGCAGTGAATGTGTCCAATTTTGTTTCCTAGAGCACTGCAGATGACTTTATGTCTATGGACCAGTCCTGGTCCCTACTAATCTCATAGGATTCCTTTGTTCCCCAGCCCTCTGTCTCTTGGTCCCACTGACCATGTCCTCCTTTTGCTGACAGAGCTGCCTCTGCACTGGGAATGGGCTCTGCTCCCCAAATTTCCCTCTGGTTGTGGTTGCATCCATTCTTCTCTGACTGCAGCATTCCCCCTCCAACTGCCCAGGAGAGAACCATATTCTTGGGGCACTGGCTGACCCCCACTCTTCTCCCCTCTCTCTTCTTCCTCTTCAGGTTCCCTGGAGCAGCATCAATGAGTCAGCTGTCCTCCTTGTCAGCCAGTGTGTGAGAAACCATCAAGATGACCTGCCCTGGGGGTAGCAGTGCCTATGGCTAATTTCAGCAGAAGGTCCTGGCAATGCCCCTGTCACTAAGATCTGTGCTGGCACAAAGAGACCCTCAGCGGTACTGAGGATGTGGAAATGACAGGGCTCCTGGCACTAAAGAGCTGTGGTGTGACTAATTGCTGCTGCCCTCACAACGTCTTGTCCTGGGCTTGGTGCTGTTGCCCCACCAGCAACAGGGAAGATGGGAGAATCCCTGCCAGTATCTCTGGGCATCCTGCTCTGGTCCATGGTCTCTGTACCAGTGAAGGGCTGGCGGCCACTCGTCTCTGGTGAGAGCAACTGTGCTGAAGGGCCCTGTGTCTGTGTGAGAGGCTCTCCCCTGTGAGCATGGGCTGTCTTGGGCAGAAGCCCTGAAGGCTGTGGCTGGGACTGGAGGAATCTCTGGATGTGGTGGGAGCTGTGGCGGAGGTGAGAGACAGCAAAGGCATAGTCCTGTGCCAGGCTCTGCTCTCAGTCCCTCCAGTGCTGTCCCCGAGGCCCTTCTCATCCCCACACGGTGTCAGTGTGGTTCCACTGCACAGTCTGAGGTAAAGGAGGCAAAGGGGCTGTGGACAGCCAGGTGCCAGTGTGTAACACCGTGGTGCAGACCTCTGACTGGGGTCTTAAAGGTAAGTCAGAGTCTTCTCCTCTCTCCTCTCGCTCTCTGTGTTCCCTGGTCCAGGCAAGACTGATCAGCTGTCCTCAGTGTCAGCCAGTGTGGGAGACACTGTCAAGATCACCTGCTCTGGGAGTAGCAGCAACTTGTATGGTTGGTACCAGCAGAAGGTCCCTGGTAGTGCTCCTGTAACTATGGAACATCCCCTGTCTATGATGGCACCAAGAGACCCGCAGACATACCTTCGTGATTCTCTGGATCCCAGTCCTGCTCCATGGGCACATTAACCATCACTGGGGTCAAAGCTGAGGACAAGGCTGTCTATTACTGTGGTGCCAGGGATAGCAGTGGTGATGTCTGCCCTGCGCTGCCACCTCATGCTACTGACAGCCATGTCCTCTTGCTCTGCCAGATCTCTGCACAGGGCTCAGGCCTTGGGCTCAGCATGGGGCAGTGTTCCCTCTGATCCACCAGGACCTTTGGGTGCAAGAGCCCCGACCCTCCACCCAGACAAGGCTGTGTTCCAGGAACACTGGCTGACCCCATCTTTTGCCCTCTCTCCATTCCCTCTCCAGGTTCCCTGGTCCAGGCAGCACTGAGTCATCTGTCCTCATTGTCAGCCAACATGAGAGAAACCATCAAGATCACTTGCTCAGGAGTTTGCAGCAGCTATCCTTATGTTGGCTGGTACCAGCAGAAGGTCCCTGGCAGTGCCCCTGTCACTGTGATCTATTGGAATGACAGGAGACCCTCAGACATCCCTTCGCGATTCTCCGGATCGCAGTCCGGCTCCACGGCCACATTAACCATCTCTGGGGTCCAAGCCGAGGACGAGGCTGTCTATTTCTGTGGTGGCTACGACGGCAGCAGTGCTGGTCAGCACGGTGGAGGCACTGACTCTGACATTCTGCCTCCTCTTACTGCTGGCATTTCTCCTTGCAGGACCATCACACCTTGGGTTCTTTTTGTGTAGCTCTGGGCTTGTCCATTGCATTATGGGACCTTTGGGCACATATCCATGGAGGGGCTGTGCCTGGGCAGGTGGGGGCTTAAACGTGAGTCAGGGTCCACGGCACAGCCCCATCATCGTGGGGACGCGGAGCTGGTGGGATCACACCGTGGCCTGGGTCCCTCTCCTCCTCGCGGTGCTCGCCCACACCTCGGGTGCCAAGGCCAGACTTGCTGTGCCTGGATGGGGCCTTTGGGCACAGGGGTCCCACCTCCCTGCCCAGGGAGGGCTGTACTCCTGGTGCACTGATTGACCCTTGTCTTCTCTCTCCTCTCCCTCTCTGGGTTCCCTGGTCCAGGCAGCGCTGACTCAGCCAGCCTCATTGTCTCACAAGGTGGGAGACACCGTCAGGATCACCTGCTCTGGCCTTAGCAGTGGCTATCCTTATGCTGGCTGGTACCAGCAGAAGGTCCCTGGCAGTGGTCCTGTCACTGTGATCTATCTCAATGATGAGAGACCCTCGAACATCCCTTCGCGATTCTCCGGATCCGCATCGGGCAACACGGGCACATTAACCATCTCTGGAGTCCAAGCCGAGGATGAGGCTGTCTATTTCTGTGGTGGCTCCGACAGCAGCAGTGGCAGCTATGGTGTGTTTTGGCAACAAGTCAAAAGAAAAAAAAAAAAAAGGGAGGCAGACTCCAGAATGAGAGAAAAGATTTTGGCCACTCTCCCTCTTGTCTGGCTGTGAGACTGAGGTAGGTTCCTGTCCGTTCTGCACAGCCATGACAGGGAATGTTGTCTCTGTTGTCCCAGAGAATGGGAGGTGGCATTTTTGCTGGGGAACATTGTCCTGTTCCCTACTAAAGTCAGTAACTTTGTCTCACCCTTCACCGACTCTTGCTACTAGTGACCATGTCTTCCATCTGCTTTAAGATTCTGTCTCTGTCCTGGGATGCGTTGGACTGGCTTCTGCTCCCCATATTTCCCCATGGCTATGGTTGCATCCATTCTCATCTGATAGTGGCATTACCCATCCTGCAGCCCAGGAGAGGATTGTGTTCCTGGGACACTGGCTGAACCCCTCTCTATTCTCCCTCTTGGGTTCTCTGCTCCAGGCAGCATCATCTGAGTCAGCCGTCCTCGGTGTCAGCTGACATGGGATAAACCATCAAGATCACCTGCTCTGGTAGCAGCTACAACGAATATGGCTGGTACCAGCAGAAGGTCCCTGGCACTGCCCCTGTCACTGTGATCTACTACAACGACAAGAGACCCTCGAACATCCCTTCGCGATTCTCCGGATCCAAGTCCGGCTCCACGGGCACATTAACCATCTCTGGGGTCCAAGCCGAGGACGAGGCTGTCTATTTCTGTGGTGGAGTGGACAGCAGCATTCCTGCTGGTATAGTGACAAAGGTTTTCAAGTCATGTAAAGCAGGATTAAAAAATGGAGTTTTTCTATCCTTCTCATGACCAAGCACGGTTGTAAATGTGGGGCTGAGTCAGGGTTTTTTTGTCTCTATACAACCATGGCTATGAATGTCCCCCTTTGGTTTCCTAGAGCCCTGGAGCTCACTTTGTGTCTGTGGACCACTGCCCTGGTCCCTACAGACTTCTCGGTGTGTCTTTGTCCCACACCCCACTGCCTCTTATTCCTGATGACCACAATGTCCTGCTGCTGCCTCTATGCTGGGATGCACCGGGCTGGGCTCCACTCCCCAGCTGTACCCGCGACCATGTCCTTGTCTGTTCTCCTCCCACTATTGCATTCTCTTTAACCTTTTCTGGGCAGGTGTGTACTCCTGGGCCACTGGCAGACTCATCTTCTTTTCCCCCTCTCTCTATCTTCTCTCCACGTTCCCTGGTCCAGGCAGTATCTCTGAGTCAGCCCTCTTCAATGTCAGACAATGTGGAAGAAACCATCAAGATCACCTGCTCTGTGCTGGCACAAAGAGACCCTCAGCGGTGCTGAGGATGTGGAAATGACAGGGCTCCTGGCACTAAAGAGCTTTGGTGTGACTAATTGCTGCTACCCTCACAGTGTCTTGTCCTGGGCTTGGTGCTGTTGCCCCACCAGCAACAGGGAAGATGGGAGAATCCCTGCCAGTATCTCTGGGCATCCTGCTCTGGTCCATGGTCTCTGTACCAGTGAAGGGCTGGCGGCCACTCGTCTCTGGTGAGAGCAACTGTGCTGAAGGGCCCTGTGTCTGTGTGAGAGGCTCTCCCCTGTGAGCATGGGTTGTCTTGGGCAGGGTGCTGTGCAGAAGCCCTGAAGGCTGTGGCTGGGACTGGAGGAATCTCTGGATGTGGTGGGAGCTGTGGCAGAGGTGAGAGACAGCAAAGGCATAGTCTGTGCCAGGCTCTGCTCTCAGTCCCTCCAGTGCTGTCCCTGAGGCCCTTCTCATCCCCACACGGTGTCAGTGTGGTTCCACTGCACAGTCTGAGGTAAAGGAGGCAAAGGGGCTGTGGACAGCCAGGTGCCAGTGTGTAACACCGTGGTGCAGAGCAGTCCCCTCTGGCTCCTTTGGAGGCACCGTGGGCCGTGCTGTGGACAGGCAGCAGAGGGGCTGCCCCAGACTGGCCCAGAGCAGGAGGATGCTGTGGGCAGTTGCTCGGTACAAACCCCAGCCCAAGTCTACCCGTGTTTCCTGTCCCCCTGCCCAGGGAGGGTTGTACTCCTGGGGCATTGAATGACCCATGTCGTCTCTTCTCTCCCCTCTCCATCTCTGGGTTCCCTGGTCCAGGCAGCGCTGACTCAGCCATCCTCACTGTCTTACAAGGTGGGAGATACCATCAAGACCACCTGCTTGGGTAGCAGCTACAGCTATGCCTGGTTCCAGCAGAAGGTCCCTGGCAGTGCCCCTGTCACTGTGATCTATGTTAACAGCAACAGACCCTCGAACATCCCTTCGCGATTCTCCGGATCCACGTCTGGCACCACGAGCACATTAACCATCTCTGGGGTCCAAGCCGAGGACGAGGCTGTCTATTTCTGTGGTGGCAAGGACAGCAGCAGTGGCTACTATGGTGTTTTTTGACAAGTACCAGAAAGTGAGACAGAACCCAAAATGAGAAGAAAGATTTTGACCCCTCTTCCTTGTCTGGCTGTGAGGCCAAGGTGGGTTCCTGTCCCTTCTGCACAACCATGACAGGGAATGTTGTCTCTTTGTTGTCCCAGAGAACTGGAGGTGCCACTGTGGCTGGGGACCGTTGTCCTGGTTCCTACAAAACTCATGATGTGGCTATGTTCTTCACCCTGCTGCTCCTTGCTACTGATGGCCATGTCCTCCTGCTTCTGCCAGTGCTGCCTCTGTGCTGGGATGCATTGGGCTGGGCTCTGCTCCCCAGATGTGCCTGGCACCATGTCCATGAGTGTTCTCTGACTGTGGCATTCCCTGTAACCTTGTTGAGATAGTTCTGTACTCCTGGGAAACTGTGTGACCTTCCATTTCCTCCTCTCTCTCCTCTCCCTTTCCAGGTTCCCTGGTCCAGGCTGCCTCACTGAGTCACCTGTCATTGGTGTCAGCCAATATGGGAGAAACTGTCAAGATCACCTGCTCAGGGAGTAGTGACAACTATGGCTGGTTCCAGCAGAAGGTCCCTGGCAGTGCCCCTGTCACTGTGATCTACTACAACAACGAGAGACCCTCAGACATCCCTTCTCGATTCTCCGGATCCGTATCCGGCAACACGGCCACATTAACCATCACTGGGGTCCAAGCTGAGGACGAGGCTGTCTATTTCTGTGGTGGTCAGGACAGCAACATTCCTGCCGGTACAGTAACACAGAGAGATTTTTAAGTTAAGTATATGGGACTTAAAAATTGAAGTTTTCTGTCCTTCTCATGGCCAAGCAGAGCTGTGGATGTAGGGCTAGGTCAGGGTTTTGTCTCCTCTGCACTACTGTGTCTATTATATCCCCTCCTTTTCTTTCCTAGAGCCCTGGCAGTGACTTTGTGGCTGTGGACTATTGTGCTGGTCTCTACAAAACTCATGCTATGGCTTTGTCCCCAAATGTATCTGTGACATGTCCAGGTCCATTCTTCTCTGACTGTGTCATTCCCTGTAACCATGTCTGTGCAGGTCTGTGCTCCTGGTTCAATGGCTGACTCTCCTTTTCTCCCCTCTCTCCTTTACTTCTCCCCATTCCCTGGCCCAGGCAGCACTGCTGAGTCAGCTGTTCTTGGTCTCAGCCAGTGTGGGAGACACCGTCAAGATCACCTGCTCTGGGAGTAGCAACAACTATGGCTGGTACCAGCAGAAGGTCCCTGGCACTGCCCCTGTCACTGTGATCTACTACAACGACAGGAGACCCTCGAACATCCCTTCGCGATTCTCTGGATCCAAGTCCGGCTCCACGGGCACATTAACCATCTCTGGGGTCCAAGCCGAGGACGAGGCTGTCTATTTCTGTGGTGGCTACGAAAGCAGCAGTAATAATCTTACCACAGTGACATGGAGCAATGAGGAAGTGATACAAAGCCCTCCCGCCATGGCAGGGGCTGCTGTCTCTGCCATCCCTGTGTGATGGTGGGCAGGTCCCTGGCATGACTCTGCCCTTGCTGCCCTGTGTCAGTGTGGCTGTGCCTGGTGTGCCAGTACCATCCAGTAGAATCCTTCCCTTGTCATTTGTGGAGGAGAGTAGATAGGATAGAACTTAATAGACTACATCAGATGGAAGAGATCTTCAGTGATCACATAGTCTAACTGCCTCATCACTGCAGGGCAGGCCAAAATGAAGGGCATCGTCCAAATGTCCCTACAACAGTCAGGCTTGGGATATGATCCAGTTCTCTAGGAAGCCTGTCAAGTGTTTGAACTCACTTTCAGTAAAGAAATGCTGGCATGACCTTCCAGCAACCTTGTCCCTTTCCTGAGCTCCAGGTCCAAGGTCCCCCTGCTCTCCCCAGCTGGTGCCCAGGGCCCAACCAGCTGCCTCCCTGCCCAGCTCCCAGCCCAGCTGCGTGAGAAACCCCTGGACCACCCCCCCCAGAGGTCCTCAGACCTGCTGAAACTGCAGCCCCAGCACCAAGAGGTGGGGATGTGCCCTAGGCCAGTGAGCTGGGCCAAAGCTTTGCCTTCAAAGCCTGGGAAGGGACATTTCCTGTGGGCACTGAAGCTCTGGGGTCATACCTGAGACTGCCAGGAAAGAGCAGTGCTGGTCAGGGGATGCTCTGTTGTACTGCAAGAGGAGCCCACAGGCTATTTCTGTGTTTTCCATGTTTGCTCAGTGCCAGCCAGTGGGCTCATGTTCAGCCTGGGCAGGAGCAGTCCAGCACCTCTGGCCCCAGGGGAAACCCCTGGTCCTGGAAAATGTCCCTCTCCTCACCTCATTATTCATCCATGGTATAGATGTCCTGTCAGCCGTCCTTGGTGTCAGCCAAAGTGGGAGACACCGTCAAGATCACCTGCTCTGGCAGCAGCTACAACTATGGCTGGTTCCAGCAGAAGGTCCCTGGCAGTGCCCCTGTCACTGTGATCCATGCTAACAGCATCAGACCCTCGGACATCCCTTCGCGGTTCTCCGGATCCAAGTCCGGCTCCACGGCCACATTAACCATCACTGGGGTCCAAGCCGAGGACGAGGCTGTCTATTTCTGTGGTAGCTACGACAGCAGCAGTGGTGGCTATGGTATGTGGTGCCAACAGGTAATAGGAAGTGAGACAGATTCTGAAACCAGAGGAAAGATTTCAGCCCTTCTCCCTCCTTGCTGGCTGTGGAGCTGAAGAATGTCCCTGTCCTCTCTGCACAGCCATGGCTGGGAACATCTTCCTTTTGGTGTCCCACAGAACTGCAAGTTCTCTTGATATCCCCCATGTCTGAAGAGCATTTCTTTGTCACAATAAAGATCACATTGTAGCCTTGTCCCTCACCCCACTCTGTCCTACTACTGATGACCATGTCCTCCTGCTGCTGCCTGAGCTGCCTCTGTGCAGGGATGTGTTGGACTGGGCTCTGCTGCATGAATGTGCTTGTGACCATGGACAGATCCATTCTCTTCTGACTGTGGCATTCCCCATCCCTCTGCCTGGGGACAACTGTTCTCCCTGGGCACTGGCTCAACCCCTCACCCTTCTCCCTTTCTCCTCTCCCTCTCCAGGCAGCACCACTGAGTCAGCCATCCTCGGTGTCAGCCAACCTGGGGAGGCACTGTCAAGATCACCTGCTCTGGGAGTAGCAGCAGCTATGGCTGGTACCAGCAGAAGGTCCCTGGCAGTGCCCCTGTCACTGTGATCTACTGGAATGACAGGAGACCCTCAGCCTTTATGATTCTCCAGTGCTGTGACTGGTTCCACAGGATCACTGGGGTCCAAGCCAAGAACAAGGTTGTCTATTACTGTGGTAGCAGCAGTGGCTGATGTCATGCTGACACTGAGCCACAGGCAAGTGAAATCTCAAGTGTCAAAGAGGCTGGTTTTGTCTCCTCCTTCCATTCAGCCAGGCAGGCTCCAGACCAGCTCTCCAGCTTTGGGGCTTTTCCTTTCATTTCTTGGTGCCCTTCCCTGTGTGTTCCATGTCTCAGGGCTGTGACTGTGATGAGGCACTAGAGCTGGTTTCCTAGAGAAGTTGTGGATGCCCCATCCTTGGAAGTATTCAAGGCAGGCTTGGATGAAGCTTCGTGCAACCTGGTCTAGTGGAAGGTGTTCCTGCCCATGGCAAGGGCTTGGAACTAGATGGTCTGGAAGGTCCCTTCAGTCCCAAACCATTCCATGATTCTATGACTGTGTTCCCAGTGATTGGGCCCTGGTGCTGCAGAAGCCCTAGCTGGGCTCATCCCCGCTGCCCAATATCCATGTGAGGGGCAGAAGACCACTGAGACGGTGTTAGAGCTGGAGCCTGAGGAACTGGCTAAGAAAACCTTCTCACATTTTGGCTGTCCCAGACAGAGTCCTGCTCGGGGCCCTGTGGCATTGCAACTACCCTGGGTGCTCAGGACTGGGTTTGTGGGTGTTTATCAGCCCATGGGAGTCTTGGGCACTGGAGCTGAGACCTTCTGCCTCAACCCATGGCTCTCATATGGCTCTGACTTAGCTGTCCACAGCGTCCATGTCTCTGGGGAAAGCCGCCTGGGTCTGCTCTGGGAGTAGCAACAATGGTTATGGCTGGTACCAGCAGAAGGTCCCTGGCAGTGGCCCTGTCACTGTGATCAGTGACACTGTAACACCAACAGACCCTCAGACATCCCTTTGGGATTCTCTGGATCCACACCCAGCTCCACGGGCACATTAACCATCACTGGGGTCCAAGCCAAGGATGAGGCTGTCTATTTCTGTGGTGGTGAGGACAGCGGCAGTGATTCCACAGTCACATGGAGCAACAGGGAAGTGAGGCAAGAACCTCCTGCCATTGCAGACCTCAGTCAGGAGTCTCTGCTGTGCCCCTTTGATGGTGGGGCAGGTCCTCTCCATGACCCTGCCCTTTCTGCCCAAGTGCTGAACGTGGCTATGCCTGATGTTCCAGCTTGGACGGGACAGAAAGTGTCATGGTGGAGGGGGAATTTCCCGCAGGTGCAGCCACTCTTGATCTGGGCTGCGGCTACGGATGACACCCATGATTCCTGTGCCCTGAGTTGGAGCAGGGCTGGCCAGGGGCTGCCCCGGTGCCCTCTGCCAGGTACCAGGTGCTGGGGATTTGCATTTTGGGACCTGGGGTGGCTTCTGTCCCCGTCTGTCTCCAGTGGTTCCAGAGTAAGGAGAGAGGCACGGCAGGATCCAACCATGAGTGCAGGATCAGATTTGCATGGAGGGGTGTCCTGGCAGGGTGGGGGCTTAAAAAGGAATCAGGGTCTATGGCACAACCCTATCATTGTGGGGACATGGAGCTACTGGGATCACACCATGGCCTGGGTCCCTCTCCTCCTCGCGCTGCTCGCCCACACCTCAGGTGCCTGGGCGGACTCGCTGTGCCTGGATGGGGACTTTGGGCACATCCCTCTGCCCAGGGACTGATCCTAGGCCTTTGACTGACCCTCTCTCTCCTCTCCGTTTTCAGGTTCCCTGGCAGCGCTGACTCAGCCGGCCTCATTGTCTCACAAGGTGGGAGACACCGTCACGATCACCTGCTCTGGGAGTAGTGGCAGCTATGGCTGGTATCAGCAGAAGGTCCCTGGCAGTGGCTCTGTCACTGTGATCTACTGGGATGACCAGAGACCCTCGAACATCCCTTCGCGATTCTCCGGCTCCTCGGGCACATTAACCATCACTGGGGTCCAAGCCGAGGACGAGGCTGTCTATTTCTGTGGTGGCTACGACAACAGTGCTACTGCTGGCACAGTGTTACAGGGCAATATAACATTACCAGCGCACAGGGAGGCATTGCTGGACCCTGGGGATTGGTGCTGGACCTCTCCTATTGTTCTGGGAAGAGCAAAGATCTTGAGTAGTGGATCTGGGCTGGTAGGAGAGGAGTTGTGTAGGAGCCTGGACAGAAAAGCAGGAGAGCAAGGGGGGACCTTATGCACCTGGGACACACATGGGAGGGAAAAGTACCAAAAGTGAAGTGGGGAATGTTGGGGCTTGGCATTGTCCCAGCCCCTTCAAGAGGAGCTATGGGTGCTCCTATACTACCTTGCCCCCTGTGCACATCTCTCCCTTGCCCTTTGGCCCTTGATCCTGCAACCTCTCAGCCTGAGCTGAGGCCGTGGTGTCTGTGCTGGCAGGTTTCGGGCTCAGAGCTGGGAGGTGTCTCTGCTGTGCCCATGGACAAGCCCTGCTGCATCTCTGGTGGTGGGGCTGGTCATGAAGTGGAGACGGAGGTGAGGAGAGAGGTGCAGGCAGGATCCAGCTGTGAGGGTCAGATTTGCATGGAGGGACTGTGTCCTGGGTGGGCAGGGGCTTAAATGTGAGTCTGGGTCCACAGCACAGCCCCATCAGGGTGAGGACATGGAGCTGGTGGGATCACACCATGGCCTCAATCCCTCTCTTCCTCGTGGTGCTCAAACACAGTTCAAGTGCCATGCCCAGACTCGCTGTGCCAAAACAAGGCCTTTGGGCTCCTGCCCCTCTGCCCAGGGAGGGCTGTGCTCCTGGGGCTCTACTGACCACTGTCCTCTCCCTTCTCTCCTCTCTCTCTCTCCAAGTTCCCTGGTCCAGGCAGCAGTG